AAATAGTATTATGTCATATTCTGCATCAAAAGAACGACGTGGCGGTCTAAATTGTTAAGAAAAAAATAACAGAAAATAATACGTGGCCTTCCTTTTAATTAATAAAATCATGAAAGGGAATGTTGGGGGGGGCCTGGGGGAAGTGAAGGCCTCATTAAAATAATTTCTTAGGGTTTCGAAAATGACCATTTCTGTTGTTCTCAAAAAAAAAAAAATTGACCATTTCTATTGTCGAATTTGAAAATAACCAATTTGACTGGATCAATTAAGTAAGTCAAATTAAGTAACGGATTTTCCATTCTCCAAGTGTCAAGCCTCAAAAGATGACGAGTCCCATTGTCCTCTTGTCAATCGTTGAAGTTGTCATCTAATGGAGAAAATGATTTGTTCAATAGCTTGATTGACTAATATTTATTTCCATGAATAGATCTGTAACTAGAATCCAAATTTTTCCATGTCGTGCCTGTGACCATATTTACCTATTCGACAACTTTTATACATTAATAATAAATATTGTCAAATATTCTTACTCCCTCCGTCCTAATAAGATCCTTTTAACTAAATTGTACAGTTCAAAAAAACAGTTAAAATTAGTTAAAAGCAATTAATATGTAACAAATATATTTTTTTCAAATATACCTCTATATATAAATAAGTAAATGTGAAAGAGTACTAATGAGATAAATTAAAAAGAGAGAGAAAATTGCAATTAGGTCCCATTCAAAGGAATTAAATACAAAAAAGTCTCTTAAAATCATGAAATTATTCTAAAGTCTTAAGGGACTTTTTTGCAATAAATTTTATTTATTTAATTATCAAATTACCCTTCTTCTTTTTTTAAGTTTGTATTGACAACTAAAAAAACGGTGGTTAACAACTTAAGGTGCAAGGATTGACAACTATCGTGACTAATTTGACAATATATTTTCTCAGCATATCACAAAATATAACGCATGAGTTGTAAAACTAGCCACGATAGTTATCAATCTTGCACTCTAAGTTGTCAACCACTACTTTTTCAATTGTCAATATAAACTTAAAAAAAATAATTTGATAATTAAATAAATAAAATTTACTACAAAAAAATCCTTTAAAACTTCAGAATAATTTAATAATTCCAAAGAACTTTTTGTATTTAATCCCCTTAGGTGGGACTTAATTACAATTCTCCTAAAAAAGAATGTATTAAATACGTAATAATATACTCAGACAAACTCAAAAAAGATATTATAAAAAAAACAAACCTATTTAAAAAATTAAATTTTATAATAAGAAACGGAGTAGTATAACCTGGCTCCTAACGTCATGTGATCAGTGCCTAACCCTATTAAAAAAAAAAATGAAACATTTGAGCAAATGGCTACCGCATTTAATTTTCGGCCTCTTTTTTCAGCTGCCGTGTGTGATTATTGAAAAGTGGTAAAATAGAAGTTCTTTATCACTTTTTGCCCAACAAAGAAATTCAAAGATCGTACTAATAATTAATGACCTTCGACCCATAAAGCCAGAGAGCAAAGCCCAAGACTGCACAAATTGTAGAAAGCCTTTTGCGGACTGCCTTCTGTCAAGGGGAAGAGGTTCAATTTCACGTCTTTTCCGCAAGGAAAAAAGTATGCAAGGAGGACTCAACGCACTTCAAATGATGCTAGATTTCAAAGGTGACCATCGGATTGTGCATGGTCAAAACTAAAAATGCTTAAGAACTCTTCAGTTGTGTTATGTTGATATCCAATTTTTTTCCCAGAAAAAGCCCTTCATCCAATCATAATACAGCAGACAAATGTAAAATCTTAACTCTGTCCAATAATATTTAGGAAAAATTGGGGATAAATCCCTCATTAAAAAATTAATTGGCAAATGATTCCTTAGGTTACATAGAGGAAGATAAGCTGCACATAAGTGAAGATAAGTTACACATAGGGAAGATGGTTTGCACAAAATATTATTCAGATACAAGAGACTAATTTGCACAAAAGGATGATAACTTACACAAAAAGGAAAATGGATTGTATACAAGGTATGTTTAGTTGCACAAAGAGAAGATGTGACACAAGAAAATATAATTATACACAAGGGAAGATGGATTGCAAATGAAGAAAGTTGAATTGCACACTGGGAAAGTTTAATTACACATTGTTCCTAAGTACCATTTACTAATTAAATTCTCAATAACGGATTTATTCCCAATTTTTCCTAATATTTAGCTCCTGGGCCAGCAAAAATTGCATGTAAATTTAAACTCATTCAATCCCTCGTGACCATGAAAATATTTCGTGAAGCTTATATGTCTAATTTGTACAAGCAAGACCTAAATACACTAACAGATTCAAAACCCAAAAAAAAAAAAAGGAGAGAAAATGAGATATCCAAACATCAAAGAAAGATAGATCACAATCTTTGAATCCAGGGCATATTTTAAATCCAAAAGCCCCTTACTTTTGTTAGCATGCACAAATGTTTAAACTCCTGCTACAAACTAGTTCACCCTAGGAATAACTTTCTCCGATATCTTTCAAGAAATAAGATGCATCAACGTGAATACTGAATGAATACAGAGCACAACACTGATGCATACTCAAATACAAATATCATTCTTTTTTTGGCAAAAAATATGGATTAGATTGAAGAGACAGAAACAAACATGATGTTTATTTCACTCTCCTAACGGAAATGAAAAGCGGTCACGGAAAACTTTTTCTTATTAACTCCTTGGGAAACATTATGGTGTTCACCAACCAACATTCATCTTCCAAATTTTTGGATAAGTTTTAATTTTGAACAAAATGTGAGTAACTACAGACTATAGAATAACAAAAATAGAAGCAGAATATTATAATCGGAACTGAAACAAAATTTTAAATTTTCGGCATAGCTCATGTACATGCCGTGTAATTAATTAGAATCCTTATCTGGATCAGCCTGATAAATAGGCAAAGAAAGAGACACCAACAGCTTCAAGTGAAACGACCTTATATTCCCCCACTTACTGGGCACAACGTCGGCGATACCATTACAAGCAGCAATCACATTCTCAACGATCTCACCCATCTCCATCGACACTTTGGCCACTTTCACCACACAACACGTACCTGTCTTCAAACACAACAATGTTGAAGAACACGCCTTCTCAATCTGCTCTTTCCAATTCCTATCCTTCAAATCCAACGGCACAGGAACCTTCTTCTTCCCCAATAGGCCCGGCAACTGCGGAGCAGCACTCTTGTCCGCGAAAAACATATTGTAAGAAGCACATAGCTCTCGCTTCGCCTCGGACGAACGGTAGTTTGACTTGAGCTTCGAGAGCTTCAAGACATTCGAAATAGGTATATTCTCGGATTTGATCTTCTTCTGCGCATCGTCCTTGGTGAGTCCTTTCTTGATTCTGTCATCGATGATTAAACAGAGCTCGGAAGATTCGGAGAGGAGAGAATGCGGAAGAAGAATCTTATAAGTATTTGCGCGATCTCGATGGGGGACTTTAATGAGGGAGAGAACGAGGTAGAAGAACTCGTCTTCTTGATCCGATAAGTTGAGCTTCTCGCTGTGGGACCTGGATTTTCTCCACTTCACGAGCGATCTCACGGCTTCTTCCACCGTTTTGAGGTTAATCCTTTCGGAGGTTATAGAAAGTGGCCGCGCTTGGTTCGCCGCAGCCATGAGCCTCCAAGGTCTTTCTCCGGCCCGAATGAGCCCCGAGGGTTCGAAACTGAGGTGTGGGGTTCTGGGGTTGAGCACTTACAGAAGCTTCCAGAAGATGATCATGCTGGAAGCGTTAAGTTTTTTTTTTTTTGGGTCTTAGGGCTTTGCATCGGCCTGCCGTTTCTAAACTGTTGGGCTTGAGTCCAGAAGGCCCAACGAGAAATCAATATGTCAATATTTATTATTCTAAAAATAAATTTTATTCGGGAAAAGTATTACATAGATCCTTGTAGTCGACCTCAATTTTGGATCAATTTTCTAAGTTTATTTATTTTGTGAATTGGATCCTTGTGTTCATCCCTAAGTGTAAAACTCAGTAAGTTAATTTATAAAATTGTATGGCTTTTATGAAATTTCTCTCGTTTTATTTAATACCATTTTATCATCCATACGTTTCTATAAATGAAATTTATTATTTATAAAGTTTATAAATTAAAATTATTGGATCAAATAGTAAGAACTTCATTAAAATAAATAAATTACAAAATTGAAGTAAATTATATGAAACTCGACTAATTTTTTCCTGCAATTTATTATTGGGGGAATTACAATCAAGTTTCATAGAAGAGAAATAATTACCAAAAGATCCCAATAACAATTTCAACAGTCTATAATGACAAGTCTTATGGTGATAATAACAACATTTGAGACTTGTTTTTCAATTGTTTTTCTTATTTGGAACCTCATTTTAATTTTTCCTTTATTATTCCCTAGTATATAAACAGTGTTATTTATACTCAGGTCCTATGCCTCTTTTTAATCTCTGTTTTACCTTTTCTTTAATTTTGATTTTTTTCCTAAGCTTCTGTTCAAACTTCAAACTAATAAATTTTTTGGTCTAACAATTTTTTAACTTTTTTTTTTTAACCTGACTAACAATTTTTTTTATCAAATTATACTTATTACATGGGAAAATTTTGTTTTATTATTAGATTCGAACTTAATTTACATGATTTTTAAAAAACGTAAAAATGCGTATTATATGTATTTCAATATAGGTTCCTTTTTCAATTGAAAATGATAACTATTAATTTATAATCTAATAATATTAAAATAAAATTATAAATCATTATAATATCATATTTCCTGTCTATCACTGCATTTCTTTCCATTCATTTATGGGATGGGAGCTTCGAAGGCTAAAAGCCACGTTGCTCACTGTAACGCTTTTTCTGTTCCCTCCTTCCCCATTTCAATTTCAAATCACTTCCCTTTATATAAATATATATATTTATATATATAAGATCCACAAAATCTGTCACTCCAATTCAAAAGAAGCTAACGAATGATAAAGCCGTTCGAAAGGCACAACCCTGTGGCGATAACCCTTCATCTGCCATTCTGAGTTCTGTCATCACCAACCAGTCAGCCATGCCTCCACGTTCTTCTTCTTCCAGGAAGAAATCCAACAGACAACTCAAGAAAGCTAATAATAAGCATTTCCCTTCACAACCCAACCACCATTCTTCGTCTGCTGTTCAAAATCAATCCCGAGGTATTAATTCTTCATCTACCCTGTTTCCCTACCTCCCACCCTTCTTTATGATACCTTCGTTTTTACGTCTTTAATTGTTATGTTTGATCATCTTATGTTTCCTTTAATTAATCACTTTCTCACGCCTGTTCCTTTCTTTTTCTTCCCTGTTTTCCTTTAAATACCTGGGTTTAGGCGAGCTTGATCCGAATATCCTCAGAGAACAAAATGGGCGAAATGGGAATTGTCATGTGAGACCCAATAATGATAAGTGTCAGTCTTTGGTAGTTGAAGAGAAGAAGAAAAGGGGGTTGTCTGTCACTGCAGCTCATAACGAAATGGAAGGATCAGTGGAAGAGACCCGAAAATTAGTAGAAGAATCTCAGAGTGAAGAAAAACAGGTGGTTGCTGCTGTTGAAGAAGAGGTCAAAACAGTTGTTGAATCTGCTGCTGCAGGTGAAGTTGTTGCTGAAACCCAAAAAGCTGAAGAAGAAGAAGATTCAAAAACTGTGGAACAGAATCCACTTTTTGAAGCAGAGAAAATTAAAGATGCTCATGAGCTTATTGTTGAAGATATAAAAGAACTAGAAGCAGAATTGAAGCAGGAAGAGAAGCAGGGGATAGATTCTCAAGAGGCTGGGCGGATTGATGAGCCTTCTCCAGCTATAGAGACTGAAACAGTAGTTGAAGCAGCAACTGAAGTTGATGGATCATCATTCATTGAAACCAGTGAGGCATTGATGATTAGTAAGTCCTCTGTGCCTCAAACTGATATGGCATCAGGGGCTATTGAGGAGAAACCAGAAGAATCTGCAGAAACAACTATTGTGATAGCAGAAGAATCTGGAGAAACACTTCTTGTGATATCAGAAGAAACTGAAGAAACACCTATTGTGAAACCAGAAGAGCCTCTTGTGGTGCCAGAAGAAACTGTAGGAACACCTCTTGTGAAACCAGAAGAATCTGGAGAAACACCTATTGTGAAACCAAAAGAATCTGGAGAAACAAAATTAGCAGCTGAAGAACAGAAAGTAGAGGAATCAACAATTGTCAGAGAATCATCAAAAGAAGAAGAAGAAGCTAAAGAATCGTTGCCACCTTCAGATGTGGCTGCTGCTGAAACAACTACTACCACAATGCAGGAAAAGACAGAAATGCCTGCAAGCACTGAATCTCAGGTATTACAAATATTAAGATACATCTGATATGCTTCAAATTACATACTTGATTGCTTCACATTTTGTCTGAGGTGTTTGACATCTGAGAGTGTTATGCTTTTTTGGGTAATTTCATGTTTCCCACCTGTTTTTTCTATAATGTTCCTATGATTTGTACGGTGTAGCAAACCACTGTAAATCCAGCTCCACGAGAACGCACATCTTGGACCAGTTGCTGTGGAATTTTTGACTTTCTATGCCGATGATAGATCAGATAAGGTGAGTAACAATATTTTCTGACTTGTTACTGATCGTAGGATTGGAATTGTGAATTTTAAAGAGTTAAAACTACTTTTAGTTCGACCATCAATTTGGATCATTGACTTTGAATTTTAAACACCATGCTTCTGAATAATTGATCAACATACTGATTTGACAGAACTATGATATAAACATATCAATTAAACTTAGAACTTATCCAGTGAGTCTTGATCGATGACTTTAAGGATAAACAGCCTGAGATATGATCAAGACTTGTTACATTTGTTTCTATTGTTGAAGTTTTACCTTTTTTTATGTCTATTGTTGCCTGAATTTGGATCCCCTGAAGCCCTTCGTAAGGTGAAATAGAGAGAAATAGGAACAAGATTGTGTGGGTTTATATGTGTCAAAGTGGGATCTACCATTCTGTTTATTTCTATCTTTACATGACGCTATGAAGAAATTGAGAGAATCCAAGAAAGAAAACATTTGCATTTACAAATATTTTGCTAACTTGATTTTTCATGGTAATAAAGCAGTGAGCAGATGAAATTCAAAAGAAGACACTGAGAACGATCCATTGGGTTTGAAGTTAAACTTTTCAGAGGCAAGCTGCTTTGCTGATGCAAAATTTTCAGAGGCAGATTGGGAGGCATATTCTTTCAAGTATGAGAGTGTGTTTTGCTTTGAGGAAAAGATACAACTATTCATTTGACATTTTCATTTTACGTTATGGTGGGTGTGAATTGTGCTGAACTGAGATTTATTACCATAAAATATTTTATCTGCTATTGCATTTTCATGTTATGTTCCATCATTCTTTTTATGTTTGGATTGCAGCTTGCAATGGATTGATTGTTTGTAATTTAATCTTATTCTTGTTTCGTTTCTTGCATTTTCTTTTCTTCTTTCTGTTCCTTAACTCTTTTTTTTTTTTTTTGGGTGCTAGCTTTCCTTAACTGTTGCTAGTGGTTAACATTTTAATTCTTGCCGACAAGCTTGACAATTATTCAGATCATTTTACCCATACATGGTTATGTATAATGCCAGTGTTTTCAGCAGGAAGAGAGATTTGGATTCCCTCAACTTCCCTTCTCTTTCACTTTTATATAGATTAAAATTTGAATGGTTCAAAATTAATATTTCATAAAATTATCAATATAAATGTTAAATTAATAAACTGAAATTGCAAAATTTTAGCTAGTATAGTTTAAAATTATAATTACAAATATTTAAAAATTGACTTTATACAATATTAAATTTCGACTGTTCAAATTTCAATATGATAGACGATAGTCAAGATAAGAAATGGAAAGGAAGAGAAGTAGAATGAAACCAAATAATAAGAAAAAAAGGGTCAAATTTGATATTATTGTATTTAATAATGAAAAAACTAAAAAAAATTCTAAAATTATCATTTCTCAATTCAGACACGAAAGAATTGGACAAAGAAAAAGGTAATTCCAAATTGCGATTTTAAAATTTAAGAAAAATAATAAAAACACATCTTTAAACAATAAATTTGTCCAGCAGTGATCGGATAACATTGCACTGTTCTCATGTTTCGTGCCTTTTTTTTTTAATTAAAAATTCAGACGAGATGAATTTTTCTTTTTCATGCTCTTATTTCTTAAAAGACAACACTACGAATTTTAAAAAATAAAATAAAGACTTCACGAGTGTCTGTATACAGCTCAAAAATAGGGACTTCTCAGTTGCTTTCTTCCTGTAACCAAAAAGGAGCGGGGTGGGGGGGACAAGTTTAAATCATTTGTTTTTTTTTTTTTAATAACAAATAACAAGGCGGGCAAAGCTTGTGAAAATAGAAGATAACCAAGAAAGCCTAACTCCTCCTCATTTAATTTGGGGTGGAAAAAGGCATATGCTTCCCAACACTTTCTTTTCCAAATGTCAGACCAAACTCCTCATTTAGCTCAAATTAAATATTTCATTGTGGGCGAAAAAACAAAAGCAGATTCTCCGACAAAAACCAAGGTTCTTTTTTTCAGTGTTTTACTACAATAGAGCCATATTTCACAGTACTTATTAACTACTCTATATTAGTTATTAACATGCGTTATTTAATATTTTAAGCACGTGCCGGTTATTTATTTTAAATATTCTGGAGTATGATGGCAAATTACACTAATCCAAAATTAAAGGGATTGTCCTTCCTACTTCTGGGCCTCCATCATAGGGAGTTGAATAACAGTTATTAATTTATTTATTTTTTTGAAAAAAGAAATTATATGAAAAGAAAGTGAATTAAATTTGAATTTAATAGGGTCATCGTGTTCATAGCAAAGAAAGTGAATTTTTCTGAAAATAAATTATCATACCAATTTAATTAAATTTGAATTTGTACTACAATGCCCCCTGTAACCAAGTTGCGAGTAGAGTTGCCATCCAACATCCCCACGGCATTTTTTCAGCAACGCAGAGTTACTATAGGATAATTTAAAATGTTGGATAGACCCCATAAGATACTTTAGGATACTAGGTATTATAGGCGGGGGGGGGGGGGAGGGATACTTTATGGCACAACACTAGAATACTGGATGCTGGTTAACTCTTTTTCAATGCCTAGATAATTAGCCCTCCCAACATGGTTTTGTGTTTATTCGTGGATTTAAACACACAATTCTTTCTACTTGCCCTCCTAACCGCCTTTAATTCCTTCAAATATTACAAACTGACTATAAAGTAGCCAGGAAAATGCATTCAAATAAACCAGTCAATGTCATACTCTATTCATAGTAATAACATCTTGAATCCTTGATATAAGCAACTCTCCCTGAACAATCTTTATCCTGGAGTTTAACTTCCTAATTACTTTTTCGAAATCACATAAACTAATAGCTACTTGAGAAAAATGATATCCTAATCTAATCTAATCACCCAGTATTGAAGTACATCAGGGCTTCTTCATGGTGAACATGGCTTCTCTTCCCATATCTCCCACCCCATTTGCCATCAGATAGGATATTCAAAGCTCATAACCTAAAATAGAAAATCCTATCCTCAAGCGAAACACGACTCCCTGTTCTCAACGCCAAGTCAAAAGCTGACATACCCAAAACTTTTGCTCTCAAAACATGGGGGGTAAAAGAATGAAGAGGCAAGCAAAACACCCAAAAAAGGCTTTTCTCGTTCCAAATAGAGATCACCAGCAATGACTCTGAACAATAATTAAAAATCGATTGTAACTGAATCAAAAGAAAAAAGAACATCAACCACAATCTAAGACAGCAACAACCAGAACTGATCACCGGATGGGAAGAAAAGAACCCGATCATCATCCAGCCATCTGATTCAAATTCAAATATGACTAATAACATCGTTCTGCATATAATCTACAAAGAGCACAACCCGCTCTAAAATTAATGATGAGAAAGAGCACGATTTCATAGCTGAAGTGGTTGCCAAAACACAGTCAAAGAGGCTCAGTTTTGCTGGCTGCCATCATTATTGATACCAGTAAATATTATAATGAACAGAAACAAACTTCTCATCTCAACTTAGAAACTAATATAATTGAACACACACTTATATTCTTTATTAGTTCAAACTGCATAAGCTGGAATCAGGTGCAGCAACTAAGAACCAAACAAAGGTATGCCAAGTTGCCAACTTTAATATAAATCAGAAAGCTCATAGGCTTAAAAAACAAAGCCAGAAAAGCATTACCCTATCAAAACTGAAGGACATTCGTGACTATTAAATAGGTAAATCCTAACCTCCATTCTTCAACTTCCCATTCATGTCTCTCCGACTTAAGCCACTATGTGGCCATAAAAAATCACCTACGTTTCCCATAAAAGACATAGATAACAACAGCTGCTACAGCAATGGCTCCCGCAGAACCTGCCGCCACCAATGGCCGCTGCAGCTTCAATCCCTTCAACCCATTTTCTTCAACATCCATGCCATTTACACGTCCATTGACTGCCCCAAATGCCTTCTCCCTCAGTGTAGTGATAACATCCTCGGCTTCACTAGCCTCTTGCTGTAACTGGAGAATATTTAATTCCATTCTTTTTGCTTTATCCTCTGATTCCCTCAAAGCTTCCTCTAAATTCCTCTTTTCTTCATCCCAATTCTCCATCTCAGATCCATTGCTGGCTACAACCTTCTCCAACTCAGCAGTCTTGTTTTTCAGTTCTTGGACTTCCTTCTCCTTTTCATTGACTTGTTCTCTCAAATCCTCTTCAATCCTAATTCTTTTGTTCCTTTCCTCAACTTCCTTCTTTTCCAGGACCCCGAGTTTCTTCTCCAAGTCCCTCACCTTCACCTCAATTTCCGCCTTTGTTTTCTTCAACCCCTCTACTTCCTTTTCAAGATGCCCAACCCTTGATTCTTTGTCTGCCAAATCCCTCCTCAATTGGTCTGCCTCCGCCCTAGTTTCTTCAGCAGCGCTCATCTCAGTAATTGAGTCTTGTTGAAGCCTCGACACCTCAGTCTCAAGGTCAAATGCTCTTTTCGCAATAACTTCTGCCGCCCTCCTAGACTCCTGGGATTCCTCGACTTCTTTCTCCATTTCTTCGATCTTCTTCAACATCTCACCTTTACTGCTTTTCAGGTCGCTAATCTCCAGAGTTAATTTCTGAATTTGCTCCTTCCTCTCTTCATTCTCATTCACCAAATCATCTCTCTCACGCTCCAGTGCATCGATTTTCTTCTTGAATTCCGCAGCACGAGCATCACTCCCGCTTTGATCGGCATCAAGGAAACCGTCCACAGACTGATCAACGCCATTAACAACCATGTCATCCGCCATAGTTAATCCTGCGAGAAAAGAAGTAATACTCGAAGTTAAAACTCACTACGTTCATTATCCCACGAAAATTCTAAAGAAAAACATCGAATTCCTCGATCATAAAAACTGAATCAACCACGAATGAAAACTCTTCATAGTTTCATTCACTCAAAAACAAAATCTTCTTAGTTTCAAAATATATAATGAATAAAAATTGAGGATGGGGCAAAACAAAACCCAGAAGACTGCACAGCGCTGTCCGAAGTAGACGGAGAGAACAAGGCAGTGAAGAGTTCAGAGGATTACAAGGAAAAACAATGAGGAAGAAGGAAGAAGTTTTTCCAGGAAAGCGACGAACAAATTTGCACCTTTCTTTTTGGAGAGCGCACAGGGTTTGCACGATTAGGGTTTCTGATATTTGGCTAAAAAGATCTCAACTTTTCATTTTTCACGGCGTTCGGAATGCTAAAGAAAAAGATGGAATCGGAACATTACAACGGTTCGGATTTGAAGCTTTTACATTACAGTGCGGTCACCATACCCACCGCATCGAACCTTTACGGGATTGGTTGGAATCGGACAACTCAGAAGCCCATGTTCCTAGGCCGTAAGCCCAATACAAATCACTGGCTCTTCGAAGCAGAGGCCCAATAACTTGAGAAGGGTATTCTGGTAAGTTCACCTTTTTTGCAAGCATCAATATATGGATATATTAATATGGGAATACAACAATGTATTACAGTAAAATTGATTAATAGATCACGTTATTTTAAATTA